GACAAGTGGAGGCAATATATTAACGTGGATGTGGGGGAATGTAGTTTTATATGCCGAATGTGTAAAAAGGAAGTCAGAATAACAAAAACTTCCATCACCTTCTCTAATACAGCACATTTCCTCTCCTGATGGAAAGTGTATTATTAACACACTTTAAACAGAATTTTCCTCCAGTTCTCCAAAGCCCACATGGCACACTCAAACACAAACAGACACAAACACAAGCATTAACAGATTGGCTATGGTCTAAGCTTTGAGTGGACTTGGCTCAACTGCCTTTTCAAGACAAAAAAGCCTCTACTAAGAAGATGAGGGGGAATCTACATGGCCTGAGAAAAATCCCCTTTTTAAACGAGAACTCACGTAGAGCACTGGACCACAGCACAGCCAATCAGGTGCTGGCGCTGCCTCTGATATTTGGACCTCAGTGCAACCACTTTTACCAACTGTATGTATGTGTGTATGTGTCTATCTTAGGGTAAGGGGGTTGTTCAAGATCTGGCGTGACCCCCCGCAGTGAATCCTGATCCTATTGGTCACGATGCTCAGAGTGCTGCTGAGATCTTAAATGAAAATTCCTGCACTCATTCATGCCTCCCAAGTGACCCAGCAGGTCTTCTACCATTATACACATCTACATGCTCTCCGTCAGAGGATGTGGCTCCATTTTGCATATGTGGGTGTGGGTGGGTGGATGTGTGGGTGGATGGTGTATGTCAGATGTTTAAAGATAAAACAAGGTGTGATCTTTACCTGTCCATGAGTGGTTGTGTAACAGTGACAAAGCATGAACACACACACATATTTTATAGCTCCTGTTGAAGTTGTGAATGAGTTCTGAGTGTGTGTGTTCTAGTCCTGACACACCCCCACCTCCCCCTTTACCCCACACAAAGGGGCAGAAAAAGCTCTCTGGAGTCGCCTATTCATCTAAAGCACAATGGAACCCCACAGAGGTTTTCTTCCTGTTTCCCTGTCTGCCCCACCCATCTCCCCCCACAGATCAGGATGGAGGGGCAGGGGGTACCCTGCCCTGCCGGCCCAGCAGCAACTCAGCTCCCATCTGCCACCGAAACTATCCCTCCTCCACCCCCCCGGTGCACCCATCCACCCATCCATCCCCCTCTCTCACTCCAGCCTCACTCACTAGCTATTTGAAGACCTGTGCCAAAATCTTTGTGCCTTGTTTCGAAAACGTCACCTTCGAAAGTTATTGACGGAATAAAATGAATTTTGTGATTACTACTGAAATAAAATAGTTTGACCTTGGGATAAACAGCTTGGTCAAAAAAACATTTTTAAATTTCAAACATCAATGGCTTTAAATGTTTGGATTAAATTGAAACATTCCTGCATTTTATAACTGTTTTATGTGAAGGCACCCAGGTAGGAGAGACCATCTGGTGTGAGATAAATAAGACATTTTTAACCACAATCCAAGCAGGCATTACATGGAATATTCAAATAGCTTCACTTGATGATAATTATCTACAGTATCTTTGTACACGTTTTAAATAACACACAGAGTTAGCTGGCAGGCTCAGCAACATTGATTAAATCACTGTTATCCCAGATTCTAAATACTGTGCGAACATTGTCTTTGCAGAAGTGCTTAAAACTATATTCATCTCACGTCTGCCAATCTCTGCTCGAAACCTTCTTCTGCTGCTAATTCCTCTTTCCATTTTTTATAGTCCGCTCCCTCTTCCATTTACCTCGCTGTTCTCCCCTCCTTCAGAGCCCTTGCTGTTTGCTGCAGATTTATGGTCCGGTCTAACATGCACGGTATTGGCAAAGCATTAAACATGTCTACTCTTAATACTGTGAGCTCTCTCCATCGATAAGAGCCTTAATAAAAACATCCCCCTAGTGGATTTGTGTGTCTTTTTCACTTTCCACCCTCCGCTTCCCTCCTATAGAATATCCTTCTCCATTAACCACTGTTTCTTCTGCTGCTTTGCTAGCTTTAACCTGGTCCTGCTGCACATCCCTTGCCTTTCCTCTCATTCTTTTTCACATATGTCTCCCCCCTCTCACCGCCTCGTTCTCTGGCCTGTGCCAGAGGTTTAATGACGCTTGAATGCCACTGCTAAGGCGTTTTTCTTCTTTGCTCTTTTCTCATAAAGGATATTTAAAAGCCATGCCCTGAGATCAATCTATCTCAATGTGTCTCTCACAGATTCATTTCTCTTCTATCTCCACTTTCTGTTTTTTCCTCTTCACTTTCAGATGGATAGCATTACCCTGTGTAACCCCTCTCCTTGTTTGGTTCACACACATCCCCTGTAACAGCCCCCAGCAGCAATTGGCACACTTGCTCGAACTGCCATTCTTGTATCTAGTCTATAAATGCCTATTGGTACCCTAAAATCCTTCACTACCCCCTGTAGCCATCCGGGTCAGTTAGGCCAGTGAGAGCCAAGCAGCTGTTCTCCTCCCACTTCTTTCTCCTTTGCTGTCTCTGATGTCAAGAATTTGAGCATCATAAGCACATTTGAAATATTAACAAAGACCACTTTGCACGTATGAATAATACAGCAGAGAGGGCAATGGCTGGCCAGCGATCCCATCCCCTGCCGCCTGACGGCCATAAAACTAATGCACTGCTTCGGGACAGAATGTGGCCTGGACTGGTCTGCCAGCAGGACTTGCCCGAGGAACTAGTCTGGCCCATGGCCTGGCCCAAAGAGAGCTGTCTGTCTGTTTATTTATCACGGTGCCCAACCACCTGTCCAAATCTCTGCAGATGCAACAGCCTGGCAGCCCTTTTGTTATGACTACATGTTTTAGAGACACTTTAATCTAATCTGACATCTCAATCTGTTGAGCGTCTTTGAAGCCAAATCTACTTTGGTGTTTGTTTGAGGTTAGCTTGGTTGTCACATTCCCTTCTTTGTACACAATTCATACTTTTTCTATCGGAAAATTACAGAGTTCTTTTGACCAAACTGTAGAGCTGGGCAACAAATATTTCAGTAGCCTTTTACTAGCTCACATATAATATTAAAGAATGTGAGTCTTCTTGCAGCCGTTGCACTGCTATTCAGAAGCGAGACGATTCCCACACTTTACACAAATGAGACAACTCATCCTAGAAGAGTGTCACTATTCATTCAGCCCTCTATGGGAGTGTCTAACATGCTACGCTCCCTAACTCTGAACACACCACTGCTCCGTCGCTACCTTTACCATCGCTCTTCTCCTGTCTTGACCTCCCAGTCTGGATGCTGTTCTATTGTGCCTTTCCCCCCTCTGGGCTTACTGAGAACCTGCTCGTCTCCACTTAATCCTGATGTGTCACAACCTGCATGTAAACCCACTTCCCGTATGTCGGTTTTTAAATTCTGATAAAGTCATTCATAATGACACGCACACAGAGGCAGTGGACAGCAGGGTAGCTACTCCAGACAAGTGTTCCTGGCAGTAATTAATGTGCATGTCAACACAGAAAGAGGAGCACCATAGCAGAAATATGAGCTCAGCACATCCACAATGCAGGCAGAGACCGGGGCAGGAGGGATCTGAGGGGAGGGGACAGAGGAAAGGTATACACACAACGGGAGAGAAGATAAATGCAATCTGTCTGTCCCATCATGCATTCCCTAAATATATCTCTGTCTTCCTCTCTCCCTGACTGAAACTTTACTGGGGCACACTGAGCTATTGTCCCTTGGTGTCCCCCTCCTCCCGGCTCTTCTCCCCTAACAGGACCTCATTGCAATCCTCAACAGTTTATATCAACCTTTCTCATGCAAGGATTTCAGAGTGGTCCACAATTTTAATAAACGTAAGCTGCTTTTCTGCTCCGCCTGTTCAGGGAATAATACACACACAAGGACCTTGGGATGAACGGCGGGGGTTCTTATTGGCATTCAAAGAAATGGCTACAGACCTGGACAGACAGTCAGTGTGTCCTCCAAAAGATTACCACTGTAACTGAGTTTTGTTGAGACTGAGACTTATGTGTTTCTTGGAGTGATCTTGTAGCAAAGCTTGTGTAGACTCGGCACTCATTGTTGTATGCATTGTTCTTTTTTTCCTACTGTAAACCGAGCTTAATCCACAATCCGCTAAACCCTCAGATTTCTGTATTGTATTTCAATCTGATCTGGCACAGGGAAGGGAGGAAAACTCCAGGCTAAACTACCACTAGGCCACACTGGGTGAAATCATTAATCTAACACTGGAGACAGGCAGCATCACCTTGGTGCCCAGGTCCTGTCCCATCAGCTCACCCACAATGACCTGCCCTGTGTACCAGGTGATTTCATCTCCCTGAGAGCTGCTTCAGTCTTTGACAGCATTAAGTCTGGGCAGTCCACCTGATCAAAGGCTGCTCTGTTCAGACTGAAATACTATGTCTAATAAAATAATAATTAAAAAGGTATAAATTCTTTATAATGATGTTCCCTATTTCAAAAACTACTTGTACACCAAAGCTTGAAACAAGTGTCACTAAATTTAGTTGCTGTATCCCGAACAAAAAAGAATATCTTCCCCCGAAGCACTTCAAGTGCTCCGTCTTATTCCTCACAAGGCTTTTCTTTTTCTTTTTGGAGAGGCCAAGAAGCCACGGAGCAAAACCTTAATTACTCCCTGCGCACCGGGGGAGTTTGATTTTTCCGCTTCAAGTAAAAAAGAGAGCTCTGAACTCTACTGTAAGGCTGAATGAAGCCTTTGCTGTGGGTAAAAAAAAGTGCTTGTCAGCAGAGGACCCCAGACCTCTGCACTGCTATAGGTGTAGCCAACTAGATATTCCAAGTCTATTTTAAATTCCCACGGACTGAAAGTTAGGGAGTGAAAGAAACTTAGAGGTTGGACACATTAAAAAGTAGAAAATCTGATTATTTTGTAGTTGTTTGATTTGATCTGTTCAAAACTAAATGAAATACAACCTGTGTGTGTGTGTGTGTGTGTGTGTATGTGTGTGTGTTTTGGAAATGTCGCGCCAGTACTTCACAATGATGACAGCGCGACTGATTTTTAATTTAAAAACTTACCAGTGCCAGACACGACATATCCCCCGACCAGGAAGAGAAGAACCAGAGGAGCGAGACCTTGGTCACGCTGCATCCGAACAGAGAGCATCTTTTCCGGCTACGCCGTTGCGAAACGTCCACACAGCGTGACCTGCGGTGTTTTTTGGCACACCGGGTGGCTCTTGTCCAACAACGTCTTTAACCCTGTAAATTTCTCAGAAAAGAGTGAAATACCAACGACCCCAGTAAATGATGTTGGATGTCGTTGTTTTTGTAAATAGTTCACTCTTGGCTGTTGACGCAAACAGACTGCAACGCTCAGAACACATCCATCACCAAGAAGCTTGTGAATGTCCAGGAAACACTGAAAGGGTGTTAATTTCCGCCCCTAATCAAAGTTTGAAGAGGTCCGCATATATCACAGTCTATGGATATAAAGAAACAATTTGTCGAGACTATTCCTGGTAGATTTCATTCCCAGCCTCACTTGTACGCTGCTTGACTGGGAGCCGTAAGCGCAGAAGTCACTGAAAAGTTTGACGCATTTCTGCTCTGAATGGAGAGATTAAAGTAGTCAGGAGCGTCCGATCCAAAGACAAACTTGGTTTGCGACCACACCAAAAAGTACCACAGGTCGATGCTGTCAGATTGCTGCGTACATTGCAGGCTGGACTCTCGAGTCTGTTCCGGGCCCCCGGGTGTCTTGTCTCGTCCCCGTCCGCAAGGTGTAAACAAGAACACGGGGATCAACGCGGAGCACAATGCCAGCCTCCGGACTACCAGCCCCCACCTGGCCAATCATATACCATCCTACTCCTCCTCTCAGAGTGAAGGCTGAACAAGTGAAGGTAAATTAGTAGCAAGCGAGGAGGAAATAGATGGGAGGGGAGAGATAGAAAACCCGGACCCTAGAGCGTACAGCACCGGTCGGGATTTAATAGGCACCAAAGTCTCACTGCAGACAAGTGAGGTTTAGTTTGTGAGTTTCTTTTATTAGAATCTATCTATCTATCTATCTATCTATCTATCTATCTATCTATCTATCTATCTATCTATCTATCTATCTATCTATCTATCTATCTATCTATCTATCTATGTAGCCTATGTTTATTTCAAATCTAGTCATGCAGTAAAGTAGACAGTGCCCTGGGCTATACCTTATATGAATAGTCTGTGGATAGCTATCTTGAGTCTATAAAAGAAGTCCAGCAGCACCAGTCTTGGTTTATGAGACTTATTATTTCCTGTCAATCCATCCTTCCCGCATCCCTGGGTCACATTGTACTCCAGGTGGCCACAAGAGAGCACCCTTTCATAAATGAGCCAACCTCCAATGAGGACGCTGGAGCCTCAGCAGAACTTTTCATTATCAAAGTCATGTTCCTGGATGGTGCTGACAGCGTCTGATTGGTGAGTGGATCCCTCAGGGTGCACAATGAAGAGGTGAGGATTGTTTTGGCATTGAAGTTGGATACTATAATGGTGCTTATTTTTTGAAGTACAGCTAAATTCATCTTTTACTTTTAATATCAGAAAAATATATTTATTTGTTGCGTTTCTAACAGTGGCAGTTTCTGTAGGTGTCCCTCTCTTCTTTGCCTATGTTGAGCCACAGCAACATTCTCTTCTCATGCTAACTACTAATTTTCTCTTCAATTTATTACAATTAAAAACCCTCTTGCTGATGCTTCTGGAAGCTTTAAATGTAGGCTATCCCTTCCTGTGCACTTGAGAGTTTTCTGTGAGAAGCCTACACAAAACTGAATTGTGGAACAGCAAATTGCTTTCATTAGTTGGGGCATATGAGGTACAAATGGGTGACAAATTAAATTAAGGACCTGAATAAATGTGCCCATACAGTGAAATGGTTTGATGAGAATGAAAACTATGTGAGTCATTTGTTACATGAGTGAACATCTGCAGTATTGGAGATATTGGAACAGCATGTGATGAACTTTCAGACCAGTCTCAATTTTGGTGAATAAAAAAACACTCTTATTAGTCTCTGTTGTCTTAAAATTATATTTTATTAAAGAATAGAGGCACCCAGAGATGAATCCCACAGTGGTGCAGTGGAGTTTCCTTGACAAACAATCATTCCAACAGTCTAGTTAGACCCAAGAAAACAAGGTCACAAGTAGAGGTGTGTACAGCTCTTCTTTGTTCTCTTGTCTAAACAACAGAATCTCCATCCAGCATAGCAAGATCTTGAGACTCCCCAAGGCCTTTTAACAAAACTAGACAATCTGAACCTCCGCACATGCTTGACAGAGTATGTAAAAGGCTAGGGTCAGTTAACCATGGCAATGCAGATACATTTTACACCTAAAAGAAACCACAGAGTGTTAGACAGCACTCTCCACCACCGACATCAAAACACCAAATGTGGGGATCTCTTAATGTTGAAACTTAATGTTGTTGTTTTTTTCCTTTAATTTGCCACCCATATGACTTGGTGATAAAGAGTATAAAATGTATTTCTATGAAAATGTCACAGATTATTACTTCCTGCCTTGCTCCAACATAAGCTCTATGGGTAGTATCACTCTCTGATGACTCCTACTGAGCCTAGCATTCATTCCTTCTGTTGCTGAGTCACATTGATGGTCAGGGAGAGGAAGGTTTATCCTGGCATGACTTGAGATTGGATTAACACTGTTAAGATTAAATAAGTAATACTTAAGAGTAAAACTGAGTGATGCCCAGAGGTTTAGGCATGGGGTTAGGGCAGACAGAGAGCCAGCATGTAGGCACGCATGCCGCTGAGCCTGAGGCGAGGCCCCTTCCCTAAGATGTGACAGTATCTGGCAACAGAACAACATTGCTGTACTTTGCTCAAATCCAACTTCAAAGGTCATAATTCGTCTGGACAGGAGATGACTCCCTGTGCCCTCCCTCCTCCGATGACAATTATGCTGTTTCCTGGAGCACAGAATACACTACAGATTATTTATTTATTCACTAAGTCTTTATTGTGACTGGTGAAAGAGCGAGAGCGAGAGAGGTAGGAGGAGAGTGACAGACGGCAAAGGAAGGGAGAGAGAGACACAGACGGAGACGGTGAGAGCGAGAGAGGTTATGCGTGAAATGGAGTTTGCAGGTTGTGTTTGAGACAGATTTGCCTCGTGGAGCTGCAAATGCATTTTCTGTTTACATGTCTGTGCATGCCATAGTTTCTGATTGTGTTTCTGTGCCACTTTTACTGCTCTGTTCTTTGTGCTGCATTATTATGAGCATGTTGAGCATATACTTATGTGACATTATCCACAATCTGTTCAAATCCTGTCACTTAGCAGTGATTCTTGCTGTGCGTATGGAACACTTTGGGGTGAGGAGCTCATTCAACAGTGTTTATGTGGTTGATTTTGGTGACACATCTACCTTGATGAGGTCATGCAGGATGTAAGCACTTTCCAAGCTCTAGGCAATATGCCCTCTCTTCCTTCTCTCCAACACGTATCCCCAATTATTACTGAAATGATGACAATGTTGAACTTGCCATAAGTTATTATTTTGTTCTGCCCTTTGCTAAGACTAATTGAAGATATGAGTCAAGGGCACCCAATGGAAAACTGGGGAGGAAAGCTGCGGGAAACGAGAGCCATAATCGAGTGGGATGGAACTCATATGTGGTGCACCATACAGAAGAAGACACAATGAGAAAGCTTGGGCTATTATTAAGGCATAATAGGTTATTCGCCGAGGACTGTTTAGCACCGCTGACTCTCTCTTGCTTTGTGTTGCAGGCTTGACATAAAAAGGATCAAACTGCCTATCTCTATAAAACAGAGGCGGTCTAAAAATAGGAGACATGCTCTAGAAGTTGCTGTGGAGATAATTGAATATTATTTTCAGGAATGATTAAGTTGACCTATCCAGTAGACTAATTATTTCTAGCAGGCCAGAGGAGAACTCATTTAATAGATTTTGGTTGCAGTGAATAAAGCAAAATAAAGTATCCAATCTGCAGGTTTTTGCTGACCAAGAAAACATCATGTGTGTAAAAATGAATAATACCCATCATTAGTGTTTGGCTTGGCACATGTTCATAGATTTCTCTTGCTCTATCTCAGAGAGATGTTCTCTCTGACATTTTCTGTGGATGCGTTCAAAGTTTCAGGTCATCCAAATCACACAAAAAATCCCTCTGTCCCAATGCAATAGAGCTTGGAATGAAATTCCCTTTATACTGCTCAAAGTATTGAACAAGTATATTTTAAACTCAGCAACATGTTGTTTCAAGCAGTAATGTCCTTCCTTGTTACTCTTGATCAGTGGTGAAAAGTTACCATGAACATTTACCCAATTACTAGACTGTAAAAAAGAAAAAGTTGGGAAAACTTTAAATTTTAAGGCAACAAACTTCAATAAAATTTTAAGCCGGGATAAATTAAACTCAACACTTTAAATTTTACTTTAGAGTTTGATCAACTTTCAGTTTTAAGTTTTCTTAACCCAACTCCAAGTTGTAATAACTTATCATTTTTAATTGCAACAACATAGAATTATTATTTCTGGTAACTTAACTCTAAGTTGTAATAACTTGTAACTTTGAACTGCATCAACTTAGAATTATTACTTCTATTAACCCCAAGTTGTAATAACATATAGTTTTGACTTGCAACAACTTTGACACATCTAAATGTATAAATACACACAATACAAACATGCAATGTCTATATTCAAATGTTATCAAATGCTTAATGACCAAGCAAATTACAACCTGTATCTGTCCCGGTCTTAGCACTTTTCTTGGGTTGTAACAATGTATCACCTCTCAAAAAGCAAAATACAATGAGGTAGCATTTAGGGAGATCCGAGAGGATTTCCATGGAGGTTTTGACCATACCAAGATGGAGTTAATGTTAGTATTAATATTAGTATTCAACATCAATATAAAATATGCAACATGACTAAACTTAAAAGTTACCAAAAGAGGTAGCTCATGGGTTGATTTAAAACAGAAGTAGTGTCTACAAGACAGGTGGAAAGGGAACTTTTGATGAAGAAAAGGAGCAGAGAAGAGAGAAAACTTGACAACTAGAGGAGAAAAAGAGGGGAGAGGAGGGTTAGAGAAGAGGGGTTGAGAGAGGGAATTTGAGAATAAGAGGAGAGAAATAGGGAAAAAAGCAAATCAGAAGAGGTGGAGGAGGATCCATCTCATTAAAAAGATAGATAGATAGACCATTAAAACATTATTATATAACGGCCAACAGAGATTTGTGGAATTCAAAACTGTCCAGGATCCAACAGTCAGCTAACAGCTGACAACTGAACACATTGGATTCACGCATGGAGTTTGGTTCTTTGAATTGTCTCAAATGTGTGCCTCAGTTCCTTTGGATACTTAAGGTTTAAAGCATAGATCAGCCCAAAGAGATAGGCAAATGCATATTGGCAGGTCAGGGAGATCTTGAAGGATGATGTCTTCTTCTATGACAACACAAATGTTCGCAACACTTGCAGGAGCTGAATCATCATCCAGCATAGTGAGGATGCCCACAATAAGCTCTTTAGTCTGCTGCTCTTCTGGGTCGGCTGCCTTGTGATGACAGAAAGGAAACATATTAAAAGTAAATCAAAGTGAAAGACATGTCATTAAAATACTGTGGCTCAGACTAAGCCATTACTCTAAAATGCGTGGAGAAAATGACAGAGAAACAAATCCAAAATATGCACATATTTATTTATTTAAATTATTTACAGTTTGTATTTAAAAAAGGGAATATATTGGTTTAGTCTATTTTATTTATTTTATGTTATTCCATGAATTCATTATATTTTTCCATGTGTGTAGCAATGAAGGAACTACAAACTTTTGAAACTTAATTTTTATA